GGCTCTGGTTACCTCGGTGCTGCTTGGCGAGCGGGCTGAGGTCGTACACCCGGCCCAGGTAGGAGACCCACAGGTCGGTGAGCGTGCTGTGTCTGGAGACCTCCCGCGGGGTGTAGAACGGGCGCCGAGGGGGAGACATGTCTGCGGTTATCGCTGGAGCTGACGGTTGCCATGGGAACGCGACGCGGCGGCTCCTTCCTGTGTTCTACGAGGGATTGCGTTCCAACAACTGCTTCCGCTTCCGGCGGCGTGTGCGTGCCACGCCTCGCGTTCGCTACAATCACCTCCCCCAGGCTCGTCGGCGGCCTGACGCGTGAGAACAAACGCAACCAGGAAGTCGCTGATTGGTTAACGTCAGACCGACGCCGCGTTCACCGCACTGCCCGACGGGAGTTGTAGTTTATTAGCCCTCCAGGCTGATTGGGCAGCATGGCGGCTCAGCTGGAGGAGAATGGCTGCAGCAGGCAGAGCAGCCCCACCGCCGGGGTAAGCAGGAGCGGGACCACTGCCCCCCTGGAGGATATATACACCCAATACCCCCCAGAGTCTGATACCCCCCCCTAGAGTCTGATACCTCCTCTCCCCAGAGTCTGATACTCCTCCCCCAGAGTCTGATACTCTCCCCCCTGTGAGTCTGATACCTCTAGAGTCTGATAAATTCTCCTTACAGAGTCTGATACCTTCCCCAGAGTCTGATGCCTCCCCTCTAGCCTGATACCTCCCCTAGAGCCTGATACCTCCCTAGAGTCTGGATACCTCTACAGAGTTCGATACCTTCCCCAGAGTCTGACATACCACTCTCTGTAGCCTGATAATACTTCTCTCCTGTAAGTCTGATACTCCCCTAGAGTTCGATACCTTCCCCCAGAGTCTGATACCTCTCTCTGTGAGTCTGGATACCTTCCCAGAGTCTGATACCTCTCAGAGTCTGGATACCTTCCCCCAGAGTCTGGCAATTCTCCCCAGAGTTCGATGCCTCCCTCTAGAGCCTGGATGCCTCCTCTAGAGTTCGATGCGCCTCTCTGTGAGTTCGCTTTCAAGCGTAAGTAAATTGGAATATATAGGAATGTGCACACTAAAATGTAGCTGACAAATCTCATAAAATGTTTTCCTAGCGCAGCATAAGTACATAGATTCCTATGGCTGGATTAGCAAAAAATCATCAGGAGCACAAGGAAAAAGTACAATGCACAGTTTAGTTAATCAGGCCCACTGCTAAAACCTACATTTAACCTACAAAGCATGCTGCAATCTGTCACCAGCGGGCAGGTATTCACAGCTACACTGAGTATTTCAAGAACTCAGTGTGTACAGCTCGTTCCTGAGTACACGCTCTGTAATAGGGGGGAGCAGAGGTAGATCCCCATGTTATTGAACTGCAACTTCTATAATGCTTTTCCAAATTTGAGATCTGTTAAGAATAACGTATCTTCTCTATATGTGCATATCATGGGAAGGAATTGCATTGATTGAGATTCATGGCAAAGTGTTAGTTACACTGCGGGGGTGAGAGTCTAAGCTTGCTGCCTGTCCCTCAGACATTCTCCATAGGGTTCTAATATGAAGTCACCGAACACCCATTTCCCTTTGTGTATAATGCTGCTGAACTAGATATGACTGTTGGTAAATGAGAACGCTTGCATCGAAACTTCTCGTACTGTTTTCTAGGTAGCGTCACAATTGTGGCCTTTTACTATTCACACATTTGGGGTTCCTTTTTATTATCTTTAAGAGGAACCTCTCATTTATTGATCAGCTGTGTATGGTGGATTGCCAGTTCTCTATGGAGAGACATAGCTGCCTGGGTTCATGTCTTTTTGCTCAGCCTGAAGATGAATTCGCTCACATTTCAATGTGTTTTTACCCAGGACTCTGACAGCGAGGTAGCCGATTCTGCTCGCCATAAGCTTGAATCTCTCCTGAATCGCAACATGCGGATAGAAATGACAGACGGACGTTCACTAGTGGGATGTTTCCTCTGCACGGATCGGGACTGTAATGTTATCTTGGGCTCGGCGCAAGAATTCCTCCGACCATCAGGTGAGCATTTTCTCAGTTGGCAGGTTAAATGGGAGACACAGGGATTCACAAGAGGTTACACACCAGCTGCATTAAATAATCATATCTCTGTGCTCTCACACAACTAATAAGGGTTCTGGTTTTCTATCTTGGATACCTCTATAACTGGAACTATTGGTGGTGCGTGAAAACAGTGTAGGAACAGAGCGGTTTAGGTAATACAGAGAATTATTCCATTTATACATACCTTTATACAGGCTAAAGTTGATTAATGTTATGGTGCTATAAGTTTATAGAAGTTTCTATATTCTAAAAGAGGAGGGGGGGGAAAAGTACTCCCACAAGGGGGAACAATAGTTTATAAGCCTCACCACTTAGAAATCTACGGTCCAGTCCCCGTCTGCCTTTGACGGAGTGTGATCCAGTATCGAGGGACATCTGCGCTGGAATCAGGTTAGTGACCCTTCCAAGAGCCACGTGTTATGTGGGGGGCGGGTGGGTGGGATGCAAGGGAAGGATGCATTGTTGGCGACTGTAGTGCTTGGGGGGGAAACCAACTTTTTAAGCAGTTTAACATTAAATGAGGAACCCTGGCCACCTACATCCCAGCCTCCACTGAAGGTATGGATAAAGGGAGAGATTACACATTCTATCCATACCAGCAATGTGCACTGCGATAGGCCAAAAGCAGTCAGCTAACATTCTCAGCCAATCATCACCACCCATTGCTGCTCAGGCTAATCCCTCTTATTGGGCTGCTGGGAACTCTGTTAGCATGGTCTAACATTGAATGCAGGGATGGTTTCAAAGGACATCAGACACTATAACCACTTTAATGAGATGAATCAGTTACTTTAATGCTTTCTGAACTACTTTTTCCCCTTAATCTCTATTCAGTTTAATCAATTGGTAATTAATGTGTTCTTTAAAAACGTAAAATGCTGCAACTTCTGCCGTGTTTGATTATAACCATTTATTAAACAATGTATCCGTCAGATGTTGGAATCTACCCGTGTGATCTCTGTATTGTTAATATAGTGTAAAGATGGCATTATTCTAACAGTACACTAGGGGAAGTGGAGAGAATTAACAAGGCCATGGCAAATATTAGGTTAAAACATCTTGAACTGGAAAAACTATCAATTTTCTAGTAAAATGTACCTTTTGTCAGTTCTCCAAACTTTTGCTCACTTATTCATTTAAGCAGAGTGTTTGGTGCATGTGTGTTTTAAATTTAATTTTATTTGCATGTGTTTCTGTTTTTAGATCACTAAACCCCCTCCTTCATTAAAAAAACAAAAATCTTACCTTTATTCCGGCACAATGACGCATTACTCACTGCGGCTTGATCCTTCTCTGGTCAAGTTATCAATCTTAGTACTGAAGACACGCGATGCATGCGCATTATCCATCAATCCAATACCTTTCATAGAGAATCGCTGGATGCTCAGTGTCAGCCGTCTGCATACATTAAAGTTGGTCGTCAAATAGATCCAATAATTAAATCTATTTCATTCTGAAGTCCCAGGTGGTTATTAATATGACAGCCATTAGTAGCAGTGGAAACTGAAATGTAAAGCAGTTGTTGGTGCTTTGACTGTCCCTCTTTGAGGGACACCATGGGTAGTTACTGACATGTTAGTGAATGTGAGCTGTATGGGTGGCAGGCCTTGGCAGCTAGTAATATGTATCACACATTGCATTCTCTGCTGTAATGCTGTTTATTCCATCTTCACAGACTCGTTTCCGGTCAGAGAGCCACGTGTCCTGGGTCTCGCCATGGTTCCTGGCCACCACATCGTCTCCATAGAGGTGGAACTTGAAAACGTGGCCTCCCCTCAGTATCTCTGAGCCTCGCTGACAGTTTAACCATTTGTTTTGTGGCAAAGGGAGAAGCAGATCTGTGGCCAAGTCATTGCCATTTTAAAAACTTCGAAATGCGGCTAATACTCTCTTTATGTGCGTTGTGTATTTATTAATACACGTGTCTATAAAAGACCTGTCTTTCAGCTGTATTCTGTGTACATAAATCTGCGCAAGTTGCTTATGGTATTAAAATTAAATTATTTCTATTTCTCTGTACGTTGTTAAATTATGGGCTATTAAATCCTGGTGGGAGCATTACTGCCTAGTGCAGATTTAAGGCCATCTTTTGCTATTTGCAACATTTTGCTAGATATTCGTGATTGTTGCTTCTATATCCTCCTCAGGCAGTGATGCAATAAAGATGTACACAGAAAAACAAGTAATAGGATGGCGCTAAAATAATTGTTACAATCCAATAATAATAAATAAGCAGCGCTATATATTGGGAAAAGGCTCCACTCACCAAAAAAAGATATATTAACCCCTTAAGGACCAAACGTCTGGAATAAAAGGGAATCATGACATGTCATGTGTCCTTAAGGGGTTAAGGACACACCTTCTGGAATAACATGGAATCCTGATGGAATATTTCCGTCATGTGTCCTTAAGGGGTTAAAGGGACTTACCTGCCTGACAGCTGGTTTTATCCAGAGTGTTAATAAAGAATTTTCTATCTTCACGTCTGCATATGTTGCAAAAGATGCCATCGCAGAGCAGACTAAATGGCTCTACCTTTGTGAATTCTCTGGTTTATATCTATCTATGTATGTATGTATATATATATGTATGTATATGTGTGTGTATGAGAAAATAAGGGTTTGGCTGCACTCACCTACACATGCTAAATTAGGGTGCTGGGGGAGGTTATAACGGTATCAGACTGAGGGGAGGGGGTATAACGGTATCAGTTTTTAATAAAACTGAAAATTGTTCAGCATTAAAATGACTGTTTAGTAGATAAGCGAGTGCGCTGGATTTTCATTTTTACTGTACTTATTGGCCCCCAGCAGCACCCTAATTCAGCATGTGTAGGTGAGTGCTAAAAAAGCTTTTTTTTTTTTTTTTGTTTCTTTTGTCTTTCTTAATATTTGCACATTACACAAGTTTTTTTTGTTTTGTTTTTTTTCTCAAGTGCACTTTGTCACTTTGGTCATAAATCATTGCACTAATATTTCTTAATTGTTTTACACGTTTATATGGTATTAATGTTAAAATGATTAATTGATTGTAGTCTTAAAGGGACACTCCAGGTACCCAGACCACTTCTGCCCATTGGAGTGGTCTGGGTGCCATCTCCCACTACCCTTAACGCTGCAACTGTAAATATTGCAGTTTTCATAAACTGCAATAATTACCTTGCAGGGTTAACTCCTCCTCTAGTGGCAATCCTAGCTCTACTAGACAGCCACTAGAGGGCACTTCCTGGTCTATAGCACAGGTTTTCTGTGCTATAGCGGCGCTGGACATGTGAGGACCTCCAGCATCGCTAAAATCCCCATAGGAAAGCATGGGGAGGTCTAATGGTCTCATCCCGCCGGTGGCCACGCATGTGCAATAGGTCTCCCATGCCGGCTGACGGCAGGGGAGGAGCGTGGGCGGACCCTAAACCACCGCCGGGACAACGGCGGTGGTCTTAGGAAAAGTCACTGAAGGGGTTTTCTCCCTTTCAGCAACATGGGATGGGGGGTGGGAGGTAGAGGGGACCTGCAGTGCCAGGAAAACGATTTGTTTTCCTGGCACTGAAATGTCCCTTTAACCCCCTTAAGGACACATGACATGTGTGACATGTCATGATTCCCTTTTATTCCAGAAGTTTGGTCCTTAAGGGGTTAAAGGCACAGCGCACTTTATTTTTGGTATTAAGTGATGTAATAAAGCCTTATTGAGGTTTCCTGCTGGCTGGTTGCTACGTTTAACTGGTGGTTAGCTTTTGAAATGGGATACAAAGTTTCTTTTCACTTGGGTGCAGGTGGTTACATTGTAAATATTTCCTTTGTAGTTTGTGTACGTAATTATAACGGGTTACTCCAAGCACCATTACAACGTCATTGATTTGAAGTGGTCATGGTGCCTGGAGTCCATATGTGCAGCGTTTTGCATTGAAACATTTTAACCTACTGAGATTAACCCCTTAGATCCAGAAGGTGTAACTCCACCTCCAGTAGCCTCGTTTTCCAGCCTGGTTAACGTCAGTTCTTTACAAAAGTGGCATCTGACACCAGCGCACATGAGGAGATGCTGATTGGCCAGGGCTGTGTTTGACTTGTGCTGGCTCTGCCCCCTTCACAGTCTAAGCCAATCAAATGGGTAAGCATTGTGATTGGCTCGGAGAATCCCTTCTGATGATGTCCGCATAGAGCGGGCAGGTCAGAGGCAGCAGCAAACTGGAATACAAATAATATTTTCCTATATTTGGGGAGGCCAGGGGGGCTAGATGGTGGTTTTAACACTTTAGGGTCAGGAATAAGTTAGTGTTCCTGACCCTACAGTGTTTCTTGAAATTTTTTTCACATTTTAAGCCAAATTAAGACATTATTGACTTTTTTTTAGTTCCACTATTTTTTTCTTACATAAAATTTGAAATTCCCCTTTCATTCTTTACTATTCACATTTTAGTAAAGAACCCATAAATGCCGTAAATGGGAAATGTGGATTATTGACAGCTGTATGGAAAAATCTCAGATCAAAGTACCTAAGCTGAAAAAATATTCAATGGATTTCTAATATCTGCTATTTTGGCCTGAAATTCCCTTGTCAATTCTTCAAATTTCCAGTTAAGTGAAAACAAAATGCAGCATTTAGAATGCAATAATGCTTTCATTAGATTACAATTATATTGTGAGATTTGTTCACTAAACGCAGCATTGTAGTGTTCTGGAACACTGATTGCCAAAGTCAGGCCAAATCGCCGAGATGTGGCCATATTCAGATAGCAATTCAACACAATTCAGTATTTAGTAAATAAATAATTGCGTTCAATATCCCCAGTGAATTCCAAGCTTTACATATGTTATTACTCAAAGGTTTATATAATAATGAATTTTATTTCATACAAAAATAAAATGCGGAGGATGTTTTTGTGATTTGCAGAGATTAGCTCAGGTGCGAGAGACAGAATATATGATCACAAATTGTCCCATTAAATGAATGAATCCACATTACCAGCTGTGCACCCAGAACGTCTTACATTTCAAATAAGTGAGGGTGCAGGTTGTTGGGTATCTTCATTCTAGCACTTGGGAATGTGATAAGTCTAGTTTGCCCAAACAGCAAATGTTGAGAGTTCTTTTGTCTGTTGGTTTGGTCAGTGTGTTTGTCTTTTTACATTAGGTGTGCTACCCTCTAGTGATTTGTTAGATATCGCAGGTTCCACAATGAAATCTCACAGTAGGAAGGAGTTATCTCATAAGATGAGGTTATGTATGCTCACAACAAGGCAGTGGTTCCCATCTCGATTACCAAAGCACATCAACAGTCTAGGATTTAGGCATTTCACCGTTCTGCTCCTTTTGTGAAAGTGACAAAACCTGGATCGTTGGTGAGCCTTGAAAACTAGGTTGAGAACCACTGCTTGAGGGATATTTAAATGACAGATTTTAAGATCAGTGTTGTGGTAGAGGTGGGCATGTTATTACAATTTTCAGTCATTGTGGAAGTCGTTGAGTATTAAAACCTTGCGCTGAGTCAGACCTTATCACACCCAGGCCTTGCCCTCTTTGTGCTGTTCCTTGGCTCTGTTTTTGCGTTCTGGTTGGCTCTGATACATTGCGCGGCTATACGGCAGGAAGCAGGAACCCAGATGAAGAGCCTGAGCCAGGCGGGCGTATGCAGCAAGCCCAAGAATCAGGAATGGAATGAAGAGAATGACTCCAAAGACGAGCAAGGTAGTGCAAGCCGCCGGCGTGAGCAGCGTGGAGCAAAGTGTCTCCTTGGGACGACGAAACTGGAAGAAATAGAAAATCTTTATGTCAATGCTCTTAATTGATAATGTCCCCCTACAGTTTTCAGCGTGGGCCCATTGCCGCTGTTAAGTTTGCCCAATAATTTCGCTATATTTCCCAATATTTGCCAGTAGAGGCTCCTGTCCAGAACAAACGTGTTGGTCCATTTGTTTAAAGAGGAATTCTGCAAAGTTCTGAAAGTGGAGCAATGTCCGTGGACACCATTGGAATGTTCAAGCAGATTGCTCCACTTTTAGAATGTTTCTTTAATTTCATTTTTGTTGTTGTTGCAAAAAGAACTCTCTCCATATTGCACACACAGCCACTATAATATCCATATATTTACTATATATATGCACACAGCGAGGGTGAAATTTGTATTTGATCCTGAGACGTGTGCAAACCTGGTGGCCAACTACAAGAAACGTCTGACCTCTGTGGTTGCCAACAAGCATTTTACCACCAAGTACTAAGTCGAAGGGGTCAAATACTTATTTCACTCATTGACATGTAAATCAATGTATAACTTTTTTGAAATGTGTTTTTCTGGATTTTTTTGTTGTTGTTGTTGTTGTTATTCTGTCTCTCACTGTTAAAATACACCAACCATTAAAATTACGTTAAACACAACATCTCCTAAGGTTATTTGTTTTCTGTTTTTATTCTTTAATTATAAAAAACGAAACTCTGGCACAGGGCAACCAACACAACCGGAAGAAAACCCTCGACAAAATAACTCTTGACTTTCTTTTCCTTTCTGTAACGCATAATTGACATATGTGCTATCATATGGCTTTTGCACAAGCCTAACGATGTTACTTTACCATACGATCTGCCATTGCAAAAATAAAGATTTCAATTTTTTTTAAAAATTCTAGACTGATCATTTCTTTGTCAGTGGACAAGCGTTGCATCAAATACTTTCCCCATCACTATATATACTTCAGCACACATACACTGCTATAGCAATCCTGTATTTACTACAACATTCAAATTCCCTCTACATCACTCATATATTAACTTTCAGAATGATATACCCACAATATCAATCATATATTCTTGTAATATATATCAAACCTATGCAGGACTGCTGAATTTATATATTACCGACTGCCGAATATGTATAGACACTACAGGGGGTGTATATCCACTGATCGATCCATTTTCATAGATTGTAAGCTGTTTGAGCAAGGCTTTCTCCATTTCGGGTACCTGTCAGTATTCTGTATGTCAGTTATTGGTGTCAGATATCCCAATTCTATAATTGTGAACTGCACTGCTCTATAAATAATAATAATGTACATACTGCCAGATCTGGACACCTGTTAAAGGACATGTATACTGTTTATAAGATATACCCGCAGGATGCGTATAGCCCAGTGGAATGTTCTGACACTTTATTAATAAACCAACAATAATAAAATATCCCGGTAGGATCTATACACCCACTAGAGAGCATTCCTGGCGGGCATCGTACATCAGGCTCTGTGGCGTACGTATTGACAATCATTCACCGTTTGAACACAGAACACGGTGCACAATTTAGGGTTACATTGTAATCAATAATGCTCTGTGATGTCAACAATTCCTGCGTCAGTGAGCTCCCCCTCCATGCCCGCACCCATCCCCTGGCTCCACACCGGGAACGCTGAGGGTGATGTATAGCTCAGGAATGTGAGAAGGAGATCCAGCTGATTGTATACATTAATAAGGAATGGCGATATGTGTATGTTACGTACCATCCTACTGTGTTTTTATACACCAGCTGCTCTAGACTGTAAGATCTTTCGAACAGGGTCCTCATCAACCTATTGTTCTTGTAACATTTTGTAAAGGTCTCATTTATTATTAAATGTCCCCACTTTTACAATATTGGATAACGCTATGGAATAGGTTGGCACTATATGAATGGCAATAACAGTAATAATAATGCTGTGTATAAGAACACCCTATGTGGGATTGGGAGATTGGCTGAGATTCCTGGGAGTTCCCGTAGCACAGCAGTGTTCCAGATGCACAGAGACACAGAACCTCGTACACATTATGGTAAATCCATCATTCGTAAACCATAGCTAGGTCCAGAGGGATCACTCAGGAGATTCCTGACACCGATTCCAGATTCTGGGCCATAGTTGGTTGTGTTTCTGTGCTATAGAACTCTAAGGATGGAAAGGTTCTGACCTGACACATACAGGGACATGGCTATAAGCCAAACGCAGAGACAATGTTCCATTTAATGGATAGATCTCACTTACCCCCGAACACAGAACTGGAAGACAGGGGAGATACATGGTACATTGTTATTACAATTTGCCATTGTGTACAGATCACATGCTTTATTACTATTAATATTATTACACAAACAAAATTTTCTACGGAATTATCATAATTTACTCCATCTATGAATTAATCACACAACATTGGACCTAACTATAGTCCCCTTCCAATGTGGCAATCTATGTCTCCTTCCCAATGGGTCGATCGACTCCCTCAAAACGCCTCTATCAATCATTCTCTCACAAAATGCTTATTAATGGTTCCCTGCCAGTGCATTTCTCTCTACGGCTCTCCCTTCAATGGATCTCTCCCTACGGCTCTCCCTAAATGGATCTATCAATGGGTCAATCAACAGCTCCTTCAAAATAGATCTATCAAATATTCAATCACAAAAGGTTTATTAATGACTCTCTCTCAATGTATGTCTTCATAGGTCTATCAATGGCTCTCTCCAAATCAAAGTATGAATGGTTCCCCTCTTGTGGGTCTATCAATAAATCCTTCCAGTGGGTCTCTTCAACCACTCTTTACCAGTCAATGCTGACGAAGCCGGGCCAATATTAGCATCATACAGAGAGCAGTTATGGCATTTTTGTCCTTCTGTGTGCAATGTCTCTCTCACTGTAATGCATGGGCCGTGTAGAATACTATAGGACCTAGAGAGAGGTCTGTCCTACTTATCATATCTTAGTAAATCATACAGTGCGGGTCCTAGGTTCCATATATAGAGGGATTAGAGACCCTCCTTAGTACATGTTTAACGTATCGTTCTCTTACACAATGTGCCTCCCCATCCCAGGGTTAGTTAGTAGGTCAGCCAGTCAGTTATCTAGTTAGCTATACCCACCTGTGGATGGCACAGGAATCCGTAGAGCAGCATGATGGCAGACGGGGCGAGGGCACCTCCACACAGCAGGATGAATATCAGCAGGTTGGTGGTTCCCACCAGCAGGTTGTGAGCGGTGACGAGGACGGCGCAGGCCCAGCAGTCTAGGGGATCCCTGGGGGTTGGGGGTACTGGCGTGTACGGTGGAGGCAGGGCAGGTGAATCGTCACCCACCGCCACCAAACTCACATTTGAGCGGGACATGGACTTTAAAATCAAGCTGTCTTGTAGTATAACTGTCCGTCCTCTCTTCTCTTGCACTGGACTCCAGCCCTTACTAAAACCTCTCTCATGTGGTCCTTAATGCATCACCTAAAATCCCAATCCCTTCTCCTCCCCCCTCCTCTTATCTAGGAATGCAGCCTGCATCACTCCCCCTAACACTCCACAACCTCTGGAATGTGTAGGATAGGCAACCCCCAATAAAGATACCCTGCTTTCTTACATACATTGAGAGTGTAAGCTCTGCAGGCTAGTCACCAGAGTCCCATCCATCACAACTCTATTTTGAATCATGCTCTGTATATGTGTTAATAGAAAAACTCTACCTTAACAAGCGCTAATATTTGGCTGCTACACGTCTCTCATATTGTGAGAAATATTTAAAGTCAGGTTCGTGTAATGAAAATATCTCTGAAAACAAAAAGCAAAACTGCAGAGTCATTAAGAGAATGTTAGATATAAATATAGGCAGGGATTTGCGTGATTAATGTAAAGATGTTTTTTTTTTTTTTTTTAAATAATTATTCTTTACTCGTTTTTAAAAAGTAAAACGCATGGAGAGCTATTTAAACCACCTTCAAATGTTCGCGCAAAAAGCCTTTGCTTTTAAAATGTATCAAATGTTTCTAAATTGGATTATCACCTGCATCAAATGTTATTTAAACGTTTTTCTAACGTTTTCAGATCTAAGTTTCCCACGAGCCGCATCGATTGTAAACTCTGCCTGTTCGGAGATTAAGGGGTTTACTGACTTAAAACAATGATTATTATTGGCGGAGTTGGAGAATTTTTCCAAATCAGTGCTTTTTGATGAAAGTTTGTGTTGTGTGGAGCTAAATTGACATCCCATTATATTGGTAAACAATTTTTTTTTATTGCTATATTAATAAAAATGTTCATTTTATTAACGAGATGCTAATATGTTTCTTAGCATTGAGACATACCAAACACACATAAAATAGCATAGTCACAATAATTATTACTATTTATAAAGCACCAACATATTCTGAAGCGCTGCAACAAGACAAGTTGGACACACAGGCAGGGCTGGACTGGCCCACCGGGATACAGAAAAATTTCACGGTGGGCCGCGGGACCTAGGGCCGGGCAGACAGCTGGTGTGGCTGCAATTAGACTGCTTGCGGCTGGAGAGGGACCTGTGCTGTCTCTGCTCTGCTCCCCGCCCTCGAGTGCTACTTAACCCCTTAAGGACTGAGCCAAATGTACATGTGAACAAAACGTAAACTGGCATTTGCGCTATATGTCTGTCCAACCGTAATTCACCTCTTTCATATTCAATACACCCACCCTTATTATATATCATTTTATTCGGGGGAAACAGGGCTTTCATTTAAAATCAAATATTTAGCTATGAAACATAATTTAATATGAAAAAAATGGGAGAAAAGATTTTTGTTATTTTTTTAGTTCTACATGACATTTTAACTGTCAATGTCATAATACTGTTTGCTTTTACTGCAATAAAATACACATATTTGTTTTCAGCAAAGTCTCATGTGTAAGACAGTACCCCCTATGTACAGGTTTTATGGCGTTTTGGGAAGTTACAGGGTCAAATATAGCATGTTAAATTTGAAATTGATATTCGCCACATTGGTTATGTTGCCTTAACCAATCTGGCGAATTCCAGGAATGAAATTTACACCCATAATGGCATACCATTTGCAATAGCAGACAACCCAAGGTATTGCAAATGGGGTATGTCCAGTCTTTTTTAGTAGCCATTTGGTCACAAAATATATATTAATAGTAAAATACACTTAGACAGTGTATGTGTGTATGTATATGTGTATTTATATACTTAGATCATATATATATGATCTAAGTAGATTATTTATTTATTTTTACACTGATTTTAATTTAATTTTATTTGATTTCCAGCCAGCAGGGGGACTGTCATTACAGGCAGTGCAGTCAATACTGGCAATGCAGCAGCCAGCTAACCCGGCAATGTGATTGTGAGGTCCTCGCAAGGACCTCACTCTCACATGGCCGGGGGGGCCGGAGGAGGCAGGATCCGCTGCGGGGGACTCCCTGGGATCCCAGGTGAGTCCCCCGACCGCCGCCGTGGGATCGCCGGCGACCGAGAAAGTAAGAAAAACCGGAGGGCGTACTATTACGCCCTGCAGCGTTTAGAGCCGCCTAAAATAGGGCGTAATAGTACGTCCTCCGGTTTTAAGGGGTTAATGAGACTGGGACCGGAATATGACGTCTTATATTAATATAAGATACATACAGTATACTTTTAAAACCCATTAATTCACTTACATTATTCAAGCTTCAATGTCCCTGGGTGCTGAGTCTGGCCCTACCTCCCCCCCGATATCAATCGATGGGGCATGAGTGCTCCTTTGGGATATACTAGATGCTGAATGCCCTCATGTGAAGCATGAGAATGTCCAGCGTCATTTCACCGAGTCCAACTCTGGGAAAGGCCAGGAAGTGCCTCCACTGGCTATCAGGTAGACAGCCACTGGAAGCCGTCTTAACCCTGCAATATAAACATTGTGTTTTCTCTCAAACGGCACGGTTTTACATCACAGGATTAAGGGGACAGGGCACTGCACTTAGATGAAGATAAAATGGTCTGGGTGCCTATAGGGTGTAAAGGGACCCTTTAAATAAAGGCTGATAAAATAAGTATTGACTTTTTAAATACCTCACTGTGAGCTACGTCCAGTTAGAAGCTTTATTTCTCACACATTCTGTCATTTCAGGCCTGGCCGACTTTACTTTATCAACTTGTGATTCCTTAATCCCTATCTGACCGACCTCCCTCCCCCCTTCTTAGAACTATCCATTCTCTCTCCTGCAGCCACACAACACAGAAGAAACAGTAAATATGGGTGAACAAATAATATAAAACTGAAATGGACTTCCCATGCCAAACATAACCTGCAACTTAAAGGGATCCTATAGTGCCAGGAAAACAAACCGTTTTCCTGGCACTATAGGCTCCTGGAGTGCCCCCCTCCCTCACGCGGAGATGAAAGGGTTAAAACCTCTTCAGTCACTTACCTGATCCCCACTAAAGGATATATACGAAGTGGTACCGGTTGGCAGATGTATAAAACGAATCAGTAGTCCAACATTGATGTAATCTAGCCCAGAATAAAAAGAATAAAATATAGTGCTCACTGTGTCTTTTTAGATGAAAAGATAAAAAATACAGTTGCAAGAAAAAGTATGTGAACCCTTTGGAATGATATGGATTTCTGCACAAATTGGTCATAAAATGTGATCTGATCATCATCTAAGTCACAACAATAGACAATCACAGTCTGCTTAAACTAATAACACACAAAGAATGAAATGTTGCCATGTTTTTATTGAACACACCATGTAAACATTCACAGTGCAGGTGGAAAAAGTATGTGAACCCTTGGATTTAATAACTGGTTGAACCTCCTTTGGCAGCAATAACTTCAACCAAATGTTTCCTGTAGTTGCAGATCAGACGTGCACAATGGTCAGGAGTAATTCTTGACCATTCCTCTTTACAGAACTGTTTCAGTTCAGCAATATTCTTGGGATGTCTGGTGTGAATCGCTTTCTTGAGGTCATGCCACAACATCTCAATCGGGTTGAGGTCAGGACTCTGACTGGGCCACTTCAGAAGGCATATTTTCTTCTGTTTAAGCCATTCTGTTGTTGATTTACTTCTATGCTTTGGGTCATTGTCCTGTTGCAACACCCATCTTCTGTTGAGCTTCAGCTGGTAGACAGATGGCCTTAAGTTCTCCTGAAAAATGTCTTGATAAACTTGGGAATTCATTTTTCTCTCGATGATAGCAATCCGTCCAGGCCCTGACGCAGCAAAGCCCCAAACCATGATGCCCCCACCACCATACTTTACAGTTGGGGTGAGGTTTTGATGTTGGTGTTCTGTGCCTTTTTTGTATCCTTAACCCGCCCTACCCCAACCACTGACCCTAACCCTACCCCCTCCTGTTTTGCCACTTATCAGAAATCCGAAGCAATTTGGCACTTCGGGTCGGCATTCTGAAATTCGTCCAAATTTGCATTCGGAACAAAACGAATTGCACATGTCAAGTGGTCACTCATTTACCATGTGTCCCTTGTCAGGCCATGCTATGGGCTGTACAATTGGAGTGTTATCTGCCAATGTTGAACGTGGATGAACAGTTTAATCATTCAGATGCCACGGAGTCATGTGTATCTCTTTATATCAAGTTTTACCAAAAGCGGCCTACTTTTTATACTTCAATCGAAAATTTTAGATTCCAATAATTTCCAAAGACAATGCCAGTATTACAGTATTTTCTAGATGTTCGCACTATTAGTGTTAACTGTAAATGTACCAACCGTCTTACTGTGTATATGACAATAAACATAAAAAACAAGCTCGTTCTAGAATGGCAGCCTTCTCTAGCTCAACCAGCTCCTACCCAGGTCGACGTAGCAGCATTATAGACCCCGGCAAAGCAGTGCACTGGCCCTGCCTACACAACCACTTGCAGGAATAAAAATCTAAATCATCAATAAAATTTACCTATATTAATACCTCCAACAAAATCAGTGTTTAAACATTCAAAAACATGCTGCACAGCAGAGATTAATCCACATATATTTTAGACAATATAACATAAGCCTTGAAGATGAAAAACAAAAAATTGGACCTAAACATTTTATTTGTTGGTAAAACATACAGTCAAAGATGTCACAGTATGAAATTAGCATGTCTATATGTTATATGGCTATACTGCTGCCACCCCTATATGTTATATGTCTATACTGCTGCCACCCCTTTCTGCGATTCTACAGCTGTATCATGAACATCCTTAATTCTACTTATTTTAGGAGTGCCCGATCTCCTAGCTTCAGGGTTATTTGTCTGATTCCACCCCAGGAGAATGCTCTTTCAGACCCTAGTTCTCTGTTAAAAGGTCCTCACTGCTCAATGGAGAGTCCTAGAATGAAAACTACATCTACACTCCTTATTTTGCCATGCCAGGGCTACAGCTGCCAAGTTCACCATGTTTGCTGGACACATCACTTATACGCAAAAATATCCATAAAACGTCAGTGTATATTGCACAGTATAGCCATGGTGAGATCAAATGGAGAAAAGGCTGGTGAAGATCCAATGTGGAAATATAGAATGGTATTGAACATGACTGGACGGATGAACTGTGGAATACGGCTCAAGAAATGAAATGGAAGGAAAATTACTGCATGGAGTTGATTTTGTAGAATTTGGAGGAAAATGATTTGGGGAATGATTTGCAGGAACACGGTTTGGAGTGATGAATAATTTGAGTGAGTTTAAACAAGGGGAAATCCATTGGTGGCACATTGGGACAATACCACAAAGGAGGGAATTTGGGGAACATGACTAGAGATAAAAGTTGGGTTTCATTCAATATTTAAACTGTGGGTCACTAAAAGGCTGTAGAAATTGCAAGGCAAAACTCAAATAAAAGACCCTGGTTGATGTGCTCACAATGACAGCAAGGCTCCATAAAGGTCATGAGACGGGGTCTCAGCACATGTGGGGCCTTAGGCCGTTGCCTACCTGGCCTGATTATAGGATAGGGTATTTAGGAGAGGACACAGAAGGATGGGAAATAAACTAAGGAGGTAGTTGAAGGTGTATATCAACTGGGACAAAAAAGAAACAAAAACATAATTTTGGCCAAATCTCTACAACTCTATCTCTCTACTGCTCGCAACACTGTGGGGCACCTCACTGGGTGACCTGATCATCTCATTTGGTTCTACATCTCTGCCCCTGACCGCTTATCTTCTCTCCTTATTTATGTCACAAGCTGCAACCTCTCAAAATCTCCTTCAGGTTTTCAACCCCCACTACCAGCATCTCATCAGGTGTTCTCCTTACAGGCTTGCTGCCTCAGTGTGTCTTTGATTCTCACCTCTCTTTCCACAGTCACTCTCCAATCTCTAAAATATAACCAATAACCACCTAGGGCTGCCATAGCCCCCCATGTTTGCCAGGACTCAGTGAACTTATTTAAATTAACAGAGAGCATGTGGAAAGTGTTGCCCTTTCATGGGTAGATGCTAAATGCGGCAGATAGTACAACTGAGAATAAGCGAACCAGAAATACTGCATTTTATATAAATTATGTGTATTACATGGCATCTTTTTCATGTGTTGACAATTTACCTGATGAAATTTTATGTCCAGAAAAACCATGAAGGCGACACTACATCCACCTCTTCCGCTCGTGTCAACTCAACACCAAAAGTTCTCGTTCTTCCACAATCTCCCATTTGTCTTCATTCACTACTAATGAGGTCCTATGCGACTTACAGATAATGCTGCCACTAAACACTGTTCGCCACTTAAATTGTACTCGTTCTTTACCTGTTGGGTACTTGTATCCATTTCTTACCATTTGGTCCTTGAACTCCGGCTTCGCAATGACTTCAGTCAGCTCTTAGCAAATGCTGTTACGTTTGGCCACATGGAATACACCTAGTATTCACAGTGCAGATAAGGTTTAATTAAATATCAGTATGAAATATAACCTGTGATATATGAGCTACCCACAAGAGGTCACTAAAATTCATTTAAAGATACAATTTAGCAATAACCTGCTATATCTATATTATCCACTAGGTGTCACTCATATGGGTGCTGTGTGTGCACAGAGGCCACCCAAGGAGTCATATGGAAATAAACTGCTATGTGCACAGTGTCCACAAGGTGTCACTATTTGTTCTGCAAAATACATTGGGATTCATTCACTTAAAAAAAAACTAAAAAAAAAAAACTATTGATTTGAAGTTAAATTGCAACATTTGGGACAAAACTAGCAGAGTTGCAGAGATAGCCAAGCATTGCTATTTTGCAATCGGATTTGTCGTACTCAATAAATACAATAAACCCCGTAGGGCAGCATGGAAATAAAAAAATACAATAAGTGGTTTATATAAATATTTAAAAAATTCCAGCCCATAATTTGTACTCAGCTAATACACAAGTTACAGAACACGGGAGGGAAATAAAAAAAATAAAAAAACCACCACAAATTGGGGACATCAAAAAAAAATCATTAATTTGAGGAAATTAAAGGTAAAACCATTTGGAGGTCCAGATTCCAATTGGGCTGAGCACCTCACCATTCCACTATAGGTATCCCTTTGGAGGGGACCACAGGAAGGCATACCATGAAGAGTCTCTGGAAGCAGTTTAACCCCTTAGTGACCAGACCACTTTTCAATTTTCTTACCGTTACATTTCTGCAGTGTTAGTGTTTAGCGGTAATTTTCCTCCTACTCATTTACTGTACTGTATTTACATACCACAACCAGAGAAGTAGCTTCGGCAAGCTTTCAGAAGTCTAGCTTTGTAAACTTGCAATAAAGTGTGTGTACCTTGAATTCTCCTTTTGCCCTCTTTTATTACAGGCCTACTCGTACGTTGGTTTCGGCACACCTCAACCAACTTTGCATCTTCTACAATCCATAACCTATTGAAATTCCGAGCACAAATATTATATACTGTTTTTCTCACCATTAAATGGTCTTTCTAAAGATACCATTATTTTTGCCATATCATAATTTACTATAAAATTTTTTTATTTTTTATAAAATATGATGAAATAAATGTTAAAAAACCCCACACACCTTTTCTAACTTTGACCCCCAATATGTTACGCATCTACAACTGCCAAAAACCACCCATGCAAAATAGTTTCTAAATTTTGTCCTGAGTTTAGAAATACCCAATGTTAACATGTTCATAGTTTTTTTTTTTAAGTTTTTTTGCCATTTCCAAATCTTTTTTCCTAAAATTAACACAAGTTACATTGTAACACTAATATCTGTCAGAAATCACTGAATAACAGGTCATATATATATTTTTTTAAAAGAAGACAACCTAAGGTATTATACTTGGGGTATTTTGACTCTTTTCGTGCAACCATTTTACCAGAATACATGTACGGAGAACTTTGAGGGTTACTGCCAAAAAACACCCCAATATGTGTTCAGCAACATCTCCTGAGTTCAGTGATACCTCCCATGAATAGGTGTGTGGGGTTCTCTGGGGGCTAAAAGACCTTATATGGAGGGTGCGCATTCCAGTTTCCCAACTGAATGCTAACGCTAACTCTGGCCAGGGTTTGTGACTAAGTGGCTACTAAAAAAGACTGGGCATACCTTATTTGTAACACATTGGGTTGTCTACTATTGCAAATCGTATGCCATCATGGGGGTAATTCTCATGCCTGGGCTACCATTTGGTCTCAAAGGCAACATGATAAGTCTGGCAAATTTCAATGTGTATAAACTGAAAAATGTAATGTGCTATAAAACCTGTACATTGGGGGGGGGGGAGGCGGGGGACACTGTTCTACTACGGAGATATCACTGAATACAAATAGGTGTATTTTATTGCAGTAACTGCTAACAGTATTATGACATTCAGTTCTAATGCCATGCAGAACATAAAAAAAAAAAAGTAATTTCTATATATTTTATTTATATTAGATCATGTTAATATACACACACATTTGATGTGACATGAAAGCTCTATTTCTCCTAAACAAAATGATATATGATAAGTGTGGGTGAATAATATGGCAATTAATATGAAAGAGGCGAATTACGCCTGAACAGACATATAGCGCAAATTCAAAGTTTTGTTAACGTTTTGTTCACAACTTGTACAACTGCCTCAGTCTTAAGGGATTAAGCACACTTTACACAGATTGTGTTTTATTGTACATACCATATTTATTTGGTGTTAATTACACTGTGTTACCCTAGTGTATGGTTAAACCTGTCCGCACTATTGTCTTTATTTTTAACACACAAATACTGCATACCTGGATGGTCTCGGCACCTTAAGATGCATCTGAAATAATCCGGTTACATTTCAAACATGTTGTTGTGTACTCTTTATATCCCGCACCCCACATTGTATAGAATGGTTCTATTTTAGGTAATATTGGAGAGCACTTGGTGGTGGCAACAATTAGATTCATTTGTTGTCTTTGAATACACACGTGAGAGCGGTTTGCATGGTTTAATTATAAAAAAACCCCCACTATATTAAACACGTAGATGCACAATAATGGAAAATATTCATTTTTTTTTTATCAAAATCTTTATTTTTTTCAGATTTATTAATATCACAAATTCACAAAAAAGGCAAAAAGTCGCTGGCTCAGTTAAAAATAAGAAGGTTTGAGTTTGTGTGATGGGAGTGAGGAAAGTAAGTACAATCTGAAGTTTAAAAATGGAGGGAGCAGGTTACCCCCCTGCCTGCTTACTGCTGGGGTAAGAATGCCATGTGTGCCTCCATGATAAAGGTGAGAGGTATTAAAAGAGGCGTGAGGTTTGGGTCTGGCTAATGAGATATTCATTATTATTTTTTTTTTTTTTAACCAACTGCACCATGGGATACTCTCCAATGAGTTCGACCATCTGTATTGAGTGAGCGTGTAGCAAGAAGAGCGAGCCATCTCACTCAACACTTGTGACTGCCCTTCAAAACAAAGTGTCCTGGAGTTCTAGACGTTCTTGTATCAAGGTCCATAAAACGTGTCTAGAAGGAATGTTTCTCTCAGTTCTTCTGAACCAGACACATCGAGATATGGGGTGTGCATAGTTGTAGCAGTTCCACCTGCGCAACGCACTTAACAGTCCCCACCGGGCAGTGACAACATACGAAGAAGGGCATAACCCCAATGGTTGAGTAATTAGCACCAGCTGAACATTTTTGGAGAGTTGTGATGCTCTGTGCTCCAGGGCAGTGAAGAGGGTCCTTAGCACCGGAGAAGTGTGAAGTGGCACTGCTCTGAGTAAGACCTCAGCAGCGGCACGCAGCACCTTTAACCCCTCTCTTGCCAGAGTCCAGCAGAGCATCAGTCCTTTATCCCATTACCTGTCAGTCACCCAGTTCCTGTACGCTTTTAAAAAAACACCCCTTCTGACAACTTGCCGTAAGAGATCTGTAATTACACAACAATGTCCCCTGCAATCCCCACTACCCCTCAGGGCGAAAACCAAAGAAAAGTAATACCACCCCCTCTGTTAAGATTATCTACCCTTCCACCATTTTAAAACAATTTACAAAATTGTAGGAAACATAGCACCAAAGGAGGGAAATATTTATCCTAACAAAACGCAACATAAAAACTTTATACACAAAAAAAAAAAAAAAAAGTTTAATTTTTAGGAAAAGAATATTTTTTAAAAAAACCTGCAGAACATAATAAATAAATCAGTAAAAAGGTTAATTCAAGGTAATTTTTGGGTTGATGGATTTTCCCCCCTTATGAGGTCTCTTATATGGTTTTAGACAATAGATATATATATATATGTAATAAAAGTGACCAATAGGCAGCTTAATTGCCGATTGGCGACAACACCCAATTGGATGATAAGAGAATGCTGGCATATTGCCATTAAAGAACATCGATCATCTGACGGCAGGAAAATCACGTACACACATATGGATTGGTAAACATGTAGTGGTTATAAAGTGAGACTATAAAACCTTCTGGCTGTGACCTAGAACGTCCAATCTTCCTCACCTAGCTGTACAGTATATATAAATCTATGGACATATTCATGGGTACAGGCCCTGCACGTACTCTTTAGGCTTTGTGAATACTGTGTGTGTGTGTGTGTGTGTGTGTGTACACAAAGGCATGTCTGTGTCATAAAACTCTAAACGCTCTCTCTTTATATATATCTATTGTGTATCCACATACAGGGATTTTAGTGTATTGCATACTCTTCAATAATCAGAGTTCCAGAGACAAGCAAGTTCTGGACTCTTTAAAAGTCTGCTCTTCTGGCATTTGCCTTAGGTTTTTGGTTTTTGACTAATGGGTTAATACGTTCCATTTTACACATTTATTTAATACTGTTTATGCATATTGTTTTTTTCCTTAGAGGATTTCAACTTGATATATTATATATAATTTTTTTTTTTCTTTTCTGTCTTGGACTCTTCCACACTGGGCGTGCATTCCACGCACTTTACGCAGTATTGCAGACAGCGTGCGACATTCAGAAAAGATGTCGGCACAGAAAACCAAAAAGGTTTATTGTATTTAATGACTTGAATATCGTCAAAATGACTGAAATGTTAGTAGGTATGGTAGTATGGGTAGAGTGTATATGAAAGTGAAGTATGTCATTACATATAATGTACATATATAGTCACACGTGTTTGGGTGTAAATAAATACCACAGTGAGTTCTAATGCTGAAATAAATAAATTGACACAATGTGACATGTAATGTAGGAATAAATAACTAGCTCTCAGAGTAGATAAAAATAGGGGGGGCATGAGAAATATGAAAATTGTGTGTGTGAGAGTGAATTCCCATATTACATTATTTTTTAAACATACCGGTAAGTTATAACAGGGGCAGCAAATGAGTGATTTAAAGTAGGGAAGGGGGATAGAAATGGGGGAGGGGGGCTCAAGTATTGGAGGCAGAAGAGGGAGAACATGAAGAGACAGGGAAAAAGAATTGTAAACGGCAAAAAGTAGGAGAGGCTTCGATAAGAGGAAGAAGCTTGAAAAAAGGAAAGAAAGGCTGGAGGAACGAGAAGTAGACCAGGATGACGAGGTGGTCTGATAGAGGTCTATACAAGGAAAGGAGAAGGGTATGAGAAGGTGTGGAGAATAGAGGAGGATGAGGTCTATGTAAGGAAAGGAGAAGGGTCTGAGAAGGCGTGGAGAATGGGACCAGGAGAGAGGTGAAAAAAAAAAATAAAGTAATAAGAAAATGTTGGTAAAAGGCTTGTCAATACAGGACAGAAGGGGAGGAGAAAAATTAGTCAACAAAGGAGAGTAGTTGAGCAAAGGGAAGGAATGGAACACTACATGAAAGAAAAAGGAGGATAACAGTAAACAAGAGTTCAGTGAAGTGTTAGCCAAGAGATGGTAGGTCGATATTGGGGTGAATGAGCCAAAGGTTTTGGATATGATAAGAAGCAGGGGAATGGCCAGACTGAAAAGACATGGTGTTGGATTATGGTAGGAAACACCAAGTAATTTTGGGTTAGCATTGGTAAGGACCCCATGAGGTCTGACTGCATATTCAGAATAAGGATAACAAGGTGGACTGGAATGGTTGGGGTGGTCCTCGAAAGTAGATTATCAGCAATGAAAGAAGTTGTAATGTTAGCAGACAGATGACAAAAAAAAGTAACATTAATAAAGACAAAGACCAAACAAGAGCATCAGCCGAGAGGTCAAGACAGTAGAAGACACAGGAACAAGATAGACAACAACCAGCAGACAGGAACTTTCCGAAGGGAAGATAAAACAAATCTATCTATATAGATATATATATTTATATTTATAATTTTTATATAATTTCTATATTACAGAGACCAGGAAATGGGGTGAAAATCCAAAGAAACTGTTAAAGGGAGAAGTCTGTGTTGAATAGATATTAATATCTTTTATATATAAAAACCCGTATCTCTCTCACCAAACACAACTTGGGGAGAAGGTCATGCACTCAAATTTTATAAAGGGGAGAGGTGGGCTAAAACCTTCTGTTTCTCAAAAAAAACAATAATTAAAAAACAAAAAGTTGTTGCCGCCAGCGAAGAATCCCTGCAGATGATCCTGTAGGACATCTATATCACCCTTGCAGCAAATCAGTCAATGCCAGCAAAATTATGAAGCTCTCGGTGAAGCTTTGCACTAGGTTTCCAACCTTCAAGACCATGAGCCATGCAGAGTCTCCACATTCGGGCTTGTAATTACCACTGTGATCTACCATTCACAAAACCAACAACACTTCAGAGGTGAATTTGGCAAACCATTGTGTAGCTCTCCAGCTCATATTTGAAAGGTTCCCATCAAATCCCACAGCATCTAAGGCTTTATTTTTCCTGTAGGCAACAAAGCCACCTTCAACATTTTGTCTAGGACTCAAGCAGAAGAAGTACACACAAAGGATATTCAACACTCCTGATGAAGCCCTCATCTCTCTCATACCAGACTCACAATCAACCGCACGTTCATTTGCTCAACACAATGCAGATTTAGATCTTTGTGCTGCCCTCCCCAAGCGTGGGTCATTTTGGGCCTCTCCATGCCCATCCACAAGTTTGAAAATCAGAGCACCACTCTAACTTAATTTAAAATTTTCTTTAAAAATAAAGTCCACTCAGTAACCCGAACGTCCAAACCCTCCCACCCCCCCCCCAAAAACAAAATCCCCATTCACAAAAGTTACCCCACAGATTAATACAACCCCCAATAAAATCCACCCTCCCCAAAGTCACAAATTCAAGATTTCAGAATAAATATTCCTGATAAAAAGTACAAAAAACAAAAATAAAATAATCAATGTGGACAAGTAGAATCCTGCATCCTGACTGGCTGTTCCCGCATTGGGACGGGATCTGTGTAAACAAGGCCTGTGATTGGCTGGAGAGAGACAAGAGCTGCCGATCCATGATTGGCTCCCCTCCAACCCCCCCGCCCCAATTCCTTGGCTCTCATCTGTGAATTGCTGGTTGGATAGCACCATCCCCCATCACCCTGGTACAGGATGAATGAGAGGGAAGATTTGATTGGCTGGCTCGGTGGTATGTAAAGGAGGGGGGGGTGACGCTGCAGTTGGAACAGCGGAGGAGGGGGCACAAGCTCACCGTGTGCTTGGAGATGAGGCCTGAAAACAAAAAGAAAAGAATGCTTTGAAACATTGACTCAATATCCATTTACATCTGGAGTCAGATAATTCCGTTAATGGTCATATTCCTTATAGAAATCTCACGAAGTTCACCGTAACTAGTTTTTGCCCTCGGAGATGGCAAATTTCAAACACAAGACCTAATTGAACTCATTCTTCGTGAATAATGCTTTTAAACTTCATTCCAAAGTTAAGGTCAAAACAACTGAATCCATTCGGACAGTCAGCTACGCTTTCAGTTTAGATACTCTGGCCTTCAGTTTAAATTCTCACTTTAGTAATTATTCCTTGAACACTCAACCACTCGTCTCTTAAAAGCTTTTATTTTCTCACTTTGCTGTGTTTGTTAAACAAGACATTATCTCATTTAAATAACCCAGACAAAGTAATCCCTAAACAGGAGAAAGTTTCCTGTGACAGTGCAGTTACCCCAACACCGTCACGAGGAACTTGCTCCTATTGTAGGGACTACTTTGTCTTGTGTATTTTTCTACACTTGACTTACTTTGACCAAAGGAGGATATTAAGCCTGCTCCATTTCTTGTGTAAAGGAGGAGGAAAATACACAAGACAAAATAGTCCCTACTCTAGCTTATGTTTTAAAGAAAACTAGATCAGAAATAAAGAAAAGAAGAGATTCGGAGAGACAAGAGAAGAGGAAACAATAGGAGAAAGGTACGTCTGGCGTGACCATGCGGCTTTAAAGGAACACTATAGACATCAAACCACTTCAATGTAATGAAGCAGCTTGGGTGTATAGATCATGGCCCTGCAGTCTCACTGCTCAATTCTCTGTCATTTAAGAGTTAAGTCACTTAATTTTGTTTATGGATATCTAGTCACACCTCCCCTGGCTGTGACCGACAGCCTGCATTGAAAAAAAAAAAAAAGGTATTCATTTTTAATCAGATGTCAACTTACTTTAGAAGTTTATCTCCTGCTTTAATCACACACAGGAGGCTCCTACAGGGTCTAGAAGGCTCTTTACAGAGCAGAAGATAAGATATTCTTAATTAAACAGAATGTGCAATAAAGGAAGTGTAAACATTAGATGACTCTTTACAGGAAGTGTTTATGAAGGCTGTGTAAGTCACATGCAGGGAGGTGTGACTAGGGTTTTATAAGCAAAGTGACAAATCCCAAGCCCAAGTGGCAGAGAATTGAGCAGTGAGACTGCAGGGGTATGATCTACAGTAGTTTTGGTGCTTAAAGTAATGCTTTAATAAAGTAAAGGTGATCCTAAATTGCTGTAAATGGGAACGATCTCTTTCAAGGAATAAAATTGTAAAAAGTAAAAAATAAATAAAAATAAAAAGTTTAGCTACAACTTATGTTACCCTTATTTTTCCTCATCATGCTATGTTTTTGCATATTAAAGACATAACAGTTGGCACCACAATCTAGTTCATGACTATTTTCAGAGATAGCGATAGAGATATATAGATATATGTATTTATTTTTTTCCAGGGTGTTTGGGTATATTCACAAAGTTGTAAATGGAGTGCTGTTAGTTTGCTATATTATGCTCCCTACATTCAGAACAGCTTTAAACATTTGATAGGAAGCATTTGATTGGCTCTTGGCAAGCACAAACAAGGACTGAAATGGGCAGATCAGCTTAGCTAGAGAACGCAAGCTCTGACGCCAAGAGACCGGGACGTAGGCAGCTAGGACAGGAATGTTAAAGCACTAATAAAAAACGCATATATTTAACTGTGTAAAACAATGTCATGTTTTTATTTCTAGACAAGCTTTTCATCCTTGGATTACCTAATGCACAAATCTGACCTAGTCTCTCCAGGTTCCCTCTGCACGATCTAGATCACGCTATCCTGCTATCCCCAGAAACATTGCTGTGCAGGACTTTATAACAAAGCACAAAACCCAAAAGTATTAACAACAAATTGCAGCTTCTCCTGGTGAGACTCCAAGCACTTTACAAATATATGAAATATTTGAAAAAAGTTAGGTTTATGATAGTCAGATGAGCTGATAAGAGAGGTGTTTTTAATCTGTAAGGATGGTTGGAGTCTCTCTGATTGATCGAGGTAAAGAGTTCCAGAATGTGGGGGCAGCATGGCTGAGTGTCCGAGAGTTTATCTTTATACTGTGTACTGACAGGAGGGACTCGTTGACTGACCCAAGTGAGCGAGATGCGATATATGGGTTCAGTAGTTCTTTCAGGTAATGCAAGCCGGGATTGTTAAAGGCTTTGAAGGTCACCAGGCCGATTTTTAAATATGTTCACCATTTAATTGGAAGCCAATACAGGGAGTGGAGAACACGTCACGTAGTATTGTGTATCAGTCCAAATTTCCCCAAAGACATATGTATTAAAACTTGACATAGAGTATACAATATATTTCAAAAACATGATTTATTTAAAAAAATAAAATATATATATATATATATTAAACTAGTAGCCCCCCCATGACGACTTCTTTTTGTCTAATTGTGTCATTATTTAGGGGGAACGAAGAACTAACCGAGAATGTCAATTAATCATATAGCGATATCCCAGCATAGACAAACTGCTCCTAACCTGAAGCTATTAGATACAGCTATTGCCTGGTAGGATTCAGCTTACTACACGCCAGGACACCATAAATCTAAAGTAGGATAACAATACACTCACAGATGTAGATTTAAGGATTTTATAGATCACAGTACACCAGATGCTCCCAAAACATACCTGTACTCCTCACCCAGATTTTGCTCTGCCCTTTCCCACTGACTTTTTTCACCCATTGCTCACCAGGTTGAAGTTGTCATAGATGTGCATGAGTTCTTCCATCTTGTACTGTTCAAGGATGACCACGTTGTTCATGTTGTTACCAGCGGTACGAGCACAGCCTTCGCAGTGAACAAGATACGTATTCTTCCCTCCGCTCTCGCTGGTCACAAACAGGATATTAAACACTTCGACCTGTGAGGACATGGGATATTTTTATCTGCAATTCTCTCTCCATCGCTCAAACAACGATCTTCACACAGACTGCCCAAATAATTCAATTTTATGGACTAAAAGTTAAATGCCAAATGTTCTATTACACAAAATACTTCACATTGTGGGAAGCTGGGCCGGTTTAAAAATAAATGCGACCCCCACCCCCATCTACCAGAGTGTAGAGCTCAACAACTGATTTTCTGTAAAACAGCAAAAAACGATTGATCCCCAAACCATTAATAGAGCACCTTTACTACTACAGCCAGCTAAAGTCGTTATGATCCCAGAAGTCCCCTGGGGCTGTTCTATTGTGAAGTCAAACCACTCTAAAATGGTTTTACACTTCCCTTGGTACCTCACACGTCCGTGGCTCAGCACCGTTTAATATAGAGTAGAAATGCCCCTTCCACGTTGGCGAAAATCAATTAAGTCTATATTTGGGGAACTTCCACTTTAAAGAGATCTGTGAAGAAGGGCAGGAACACCAGCAAAGGGGGACCCAAGTAAGCGTCAAACGTAAAAACAAACGGCTTGAACAGGCATTTTCTGGCACCATAATCCGTACAAAGCATTCTAGTAGTTTTGATGCTTGGAGCGCCCCTTTAAAGAAATCTGTAAACTCATACACTCTCGGATCAAATACAATACCCATCTCAAAGTAACCAGGCAAGAAGGACAGGGAATGAGGACAACACTTACATCACACTCATTGCAGTAATAGGCGGGTTCATCTTTCACTCGGGCCTGATAAGAGATCTTCTTTCCACTGCGTATCAAGCTGTCCCTCTGCACCTGACATCGCTTGATAGACTGCAAGAGACAGTACCTGGAAGGGTGAAAGGTTCCCGTGTTACACCATGGAAACCCAACAGGACCAAGAGAATCCCTACAGCAGCTTGGTTTTTGTTTTAGCCCATCGGCACTCACTTGATCATGCGGTAGAGATCGGTGTCACTAATCTTCACGGTCTTTGCCACGTTCCACGACACATGGATCATTGGGACAATGGATTTCACGTTCTTAACTTCATTCCACTCAAACCGCTCGAGGGCCAACTGATACTGATACGCTGAGAGAGACAAGAACCTATCACTGCACATAACCAGTTCAATGCTAATTACATTTTATCACAATCACACAATACGAACGGTCACTTTAAACGTGCAGTGTCTCATGCCAAAAAATAAACAAAGTTGCTGGGAGCAGCGGCTTTGCTTTCCAGACTTCCCCTAGCAGTGACAGGTTGGGATATCCACTCAGATTTACACATTTTTGTAATTTAATTACCAGCAATTTTCAGCACACAGCTTGCCATGCTGAAAGAACCTCACTTTCTTCAATTTAATGTATAGATAACAGAGCGAAAAAACAAAACAAAAACAAAAGAGCTCTAACTTTATTGTTCTGTTTCTGCAGCAAATACCCAGCAGTGAACGCAGTCTACACCACAAGAGGCTCCACCAATCAGGACCATCTCTTTCTGGTCTATGTGGTCTAAATGTATCCCATAAAGAGGTTTATGGAACAGGTTCTTCAGCCCTCAGCACCAGGTTAAGGATTCTCACACAGTCAACTATGTATGGTGCTTGGATTGTATCGTTAAATGAGAAAACAGGTCTTGAAATGTGACACACATTGCCAATCTAACTTACGTGTCAGAGGCCCCACGTTCCATGCAATGTTGTTGCACCAGCCTGTAGCCTGCACCCAGTGAACAGTTCCAGCATTAATCCACACCAGGTCTCCGGGGCGCTGAACAAACCTATACACCGGAATATCCGAGCGATACAGATCTTCAAGGACTGGCCACCAGGAACCAGTCAGATAGTCCAAATTGTGCCTGGAGAAGAAGGAAGGGATTGACTTACTAACCAGCAAAGTATCTGGAAAGATAATTTAGGACAAACCTCCAAGGTAAAATATAACTGAAAAAATAAAAAATAAATATTCGATCCTTGCAATTCGATCTTCAAACCACCGTGCAGATCATTTAAGCAGTATGCCGTTACTTAGCCCTGGATTGTTGGATACGGGACAAACAGACATTGATTTCATCAATCTAAATTAAATATATTATTGTGAGTGTTCTAGATTGATACTCAAAAAAAAAAAAAAAAATGAAGTCGCTAAGAAAGAGGGACAGGAGTAAGACACTTGAGGAGGCATTTAAATAGAAAATAACAGCATTTCGGGTGGGGAGACCGTAGGTCCTACAGCATTTTGCCTGGTACTAAGCGTTTTCAGATTATGATGGTGGTAAAAAAAAAAAAAAAAACAGCCAAAAACATTTTGAATATCATACCTGCACTCATTACATTTTGTCTTTATCGTTGCAATAAATTATGTACATAAAATGGGACACCTTCGCTGTGCTAATCTTACCGGTCACAGAAAGCGCTGATATTCTGCCAGTAATTTTCATGCACAGCGAACCATTCACAGTCGCCCGGCCCAATGTTTATATTCACGGAACAAAAGTTATTATTCTCCTGGTGACCTAGAGAAAAATAAATAATTTTTTTTTTTTTTTTAAATCATGCTTTGTTTTTCCATTTGTCTCGTCTGTATAACCCACGGCGCCCCCCGCAACCACCTCATTGTCTGTGTGCGCCCTCTAGACCTTGCAGCCGCGAGGTGTTTCCCTTCTATAGTTACACCTCACTTTTCCTTATTAAAGGACCACTATAGTACCAGGAAAACACTTGTTTTCCTGGCACTATAGTGCCCTGAGGGTGCCCCCACCCTCAGGGACCCCCTCCCGCCCGGCTCTGGAAGGGGGAAAAGGGTTAAAACTTACCTTTTTCCAGCGCTGGGCGGGGAGCTCTCCTCCTCCGATCCTCCTCTTCTCATCCCATGCGGCTGAATGCGCACGCTCGGCAAGAGCTGCGCGCGCATTCAGCCAGTCACATAGGAAAGCATTATCAATGCTTTCCTATGGATGCTTGCATGCTCTCACTGTGATTTTCACAGTGAGAATCACACAAGCGCCTCTAGTGGCTGTCAATGAGCCGCTAGAGGAATTGGGGGAAGGCTTAACCCATTCATAAACATAGCAGTTTCTCTGAAACTGCTATGTTTATAAAAAATAAATAAATGGGTTAACCCTAGCTGGACCTGGCACCCAGACCACTTCATTAAGCTGAAGTGGTCTGGGTGCCTAGAGTTGTCCTTTAATCTCTCAGGGAGGTCACTACAGGCTTGAGGCGCTCTTTAGCTCTGTGAAAACTGATACTTTTCATAAGCACAGCTTGTATAAAAATGGGGTCTGTTATTATGTACCATGTTTGTAATGTGCAATGAGTAGGCAGGAACAAAAGACACCATCAGGATATGCTTGGTCCTTCCCTCTCCTACCTTCCAGTTCTTCTCTTCCTCTATCTTCTGACCATCTGTTGCCCTCTAGTGCTCAAGTGCCCTCAAAAACTCAAGGTTTTTTGGCTTGGCTTTTCCAAGTTTTTACTAGTTTAATTCTGAGGGACTATATTCATGGGCTCTACCTACCTGTCCATAGAACACACTCCGTGGGCTCATCAACCCCACCAAATAGTCTCAAAGAAATAAACATCAGTGTCAAGTAGCAGATTCAGTAGCAAAAGGCATCTTACTGCATCTTTATTACAAGGATAACCTCGATATGAGATTGTGTGTGGACAGCAACCAAATCAGAAATGGCCTTTTCTCACAGTTGGAATGATTATCTCCAAGCACCCCACTTCGTGACAGAAGCAGCAATTCAAATGCATGCTCATGCGGTCATGTCCACCCACGACGGGCTCTAAAACATCCCATTATACTCAAAGCCTTTTGTTTATACTCTTGTTGTTAAGTGGACATGTTTGCCTCCTCTTACCTGGAGTCCTGCTTCCTGGAACCTTCATATACAGCTGAACCGTGTTCATGCCAAGAATAGTATGCCCAACGTGACTTAGCATGTTTCCATTGGATGTGACACGCATAAACGATGGTAACTTTAATAGTTCCTGCAGCTGAGGTTTCCACCTAATTAAAAATAAAATAGTCACCATATGCCCTGTTAATAGACTGTAAAGGTAAGATATGTGGTGGGCAATGGTCTAGTCAGGCTGCATGGGGCAGTGCGTCTCGGGTCCAGTATCAACAATCTCCACCTTACAATGTGATGGCCCATGCCGCTTGCGGTTTAAACTGCTCACACTGAGGACCAGGAAGGAGACAGTCCCTTGCGATCTCACTACAAATCTGGGTGGATTGGATGCAGAGCTCCCACCTGATCCCCTTGGATTCTGGGGCCTTATGGACGTTGCCATCTCCATTTTTAACGTTAATATAAAAACATGGACACCTTGACCAGCAGTGTGAAGTAGGGCATTTTTGTCCCAGCTGCAAATATGTAACTGTTACAGGACTATGAAGGACATGTTTGCGGTCTTAAAGTATTATTTATCCAGATGTTAGGGTTACCCCAGTCTGCTAGGAAATTTGCAGGACACGAATGGCAGGGCAACAGGCGCTCCAGTATCTTGTGTACATAATGAGTTATTTAAGCCAGTAATGCAATCACAGTAGATGGTGCCGAAATCTCAACTTACCTTTTGGGGTCAGAGAGGTCAATATTGGTTCCAAATTTAATGATTTGAGGGGTTTTGTGCTCATTGTTTGTGCTGTGGAGGAAGAGACAGGAGAACAAAGTCCTTTACTAAATGAATTGCCCCAGGTGGACTCAACAATGGTTAAATGAGCAAAGTGCGCCATGTTACCTGGCGGGGAGGGTTTCTGTGGTACTATCTGGCTCGTTAGACTCCTCATCACTATCCTTATCTTCCTACAGGGAAATAAAAAGGAAAGGAAGAATAAAAGTTGACAAAAAATTACCTTGATGAATGAGCGACCAGGAAAGAAAGCTTTAAAAAGGAACAATGAAAAGATTAAGAAAAATGTAGGGAATAAAACCATAGACTATCGTGCTTGCCTGTAGAGATTCCTGAAAAGATGATGCCTGGTACTGGGCATATTTGGCGATGGTGGTGTGTGAACGGCTGCTCTCGCAATGCCAGATTTGCTTCGTTCCAGATGGGTCCCAGTTCTCATCGGATGGCTGCTGGACCTGAGTGCGAACCTCGACAGAGTGATCTGCGTTGGCATCTACCAGGGTCTTTGTGGAAAACAGGCCGAGGTCTGAGGGAAAGACGAGGTTGGGAATCAATGGATTCAAACAGAAAGACAACATTAGGGAAATACATTTAAAAAAAATTATATATTTTTTTTATTTTTATTTCTTTTAAAAAGAAAAAAGAAAAAAGAAAAAAAAAAAGAAAGGAAAGTGTGAGAAGAATAGGAGGAGTTGTGACCTAGGATTGGACGGGTGGTAGATGCATTTACTATTTCTTTGCTAGTGCTTTATTAATATTGGAGGGGAGGGGGGGGAATCTTTCCTTCAAGCCTCAGTCCTTCACCGTAAAACATCTAAACACCAGGATAACTCACTTAGCCGCAGGGAGCCTGCCAATCCGCGGATAACGGTGATCGGATTCTTGGGATCGGTGCAGAATTGAAGCAGAACAGGAGAAAATGCATCACGCTTACTCTCCAACTGTACAGGAACAAAAAGAAACAAGGCTGGTATCTCAATTCTGTGTCACCATGCAGGGGGAGGGACAGACTCATAGCTCCTTCTGTCTGTGTCACTGTGTCACCCTGCAGGGGGAGGGACAGACTCATAGCTCCTTCTGTCTGTGTCACTGTCACCCTGCAGGGGGAGGGACAGACTCATAGCTCCTTCTGTCTGTGTCACCTGTGTCACCCTGCAGGGGGAGGGACAGACTCATAGCTCCTTCTGTCTGTGTCACCGTGTCACCCTGCAGGGGGAGGGACAGACTCATAGCTCCTTCTGTCTGTGTCACTGTGTCACCCTGCAGGGGGAGGGACAGTCTCATAGCTCCTTCTGTCTGTGTCACTGTGTCACCCTGCAGGAGGAGGGACAGACTCATAGCTCCTTCTGTCTGTGTCACTGTGTCACCCTGCAGGGGGAGGGACAGACTCATAGCTCCTTCTGTCTGTGTCACTGTGTCACCCTGCAGGGGGAGGGACAGACTCATAGCTCCTTCTGTCTGTGTCACTGTGTCACCCTGCAGGGGGAGGGACAGACTCATAGCTCCTTCTGTCTGTGTCACCGTGTCACCCTGCAGGGGGAGGGACAGACTCATAGCTCCTTCTGTCTGTGTCACCGTGTCACCCTGCAGGGGGAGGGACAGACTCATAGCTCCTTCTGTCTGTGTCACTGTGTCACCCTGCAGGGGGAGGGACAGACTCATAGCTCCTTCTGTCTGTCACTGTGTCACCCCTGCAGGGGGAGGGACAGACTCATAGCTCCTTCTGTCTGTGTCACTGTGTCACCCTGCAGGGGGAGGGACAGACTCATAGCTCCTTCTGTCTGTGTCCTGTGTCACCCTGCAGGGGGAGGGACAGACTCATAGCTCCTTCTGTCTGTGTCACTGTCACCCTGCAGGGGGAGGGACAGACTCATAGCTCCTTCTGTCTGTGTCACCCTGCAGGGGGAGGGACGGACTCATAGCTCCTTCTGTCTGTGTCACTGTGTCACCCTGCAGGGGGAGGGACGGACTCATAGCTCCTTCTGTCTGTGTCACTGTATCACCCTGCAGGGGGAGGGACAGACTCATAGCTCCTTCTGTCTGTGTCACTGTGTCACCCTGTAGAGGGAGGGACAGACTCATAGCTCCTTCTGTCTGTCACCCTGCAGGGGAAGGGACAGACTCATAGCTCCTTATGTCTGTGTCACCTTGCAGGGGGAGGGACAGACTTATAGCGCTTTCTCAGTCACCATGCCACCCTTGAGGGGAAAGGAAAAATTCCTGTCTGTGCCACACTGCCATACCGAGGGGCAGTCTCAAAGCTCCTTTCATACAGCAGGGTGGTCACTAAATAATAAAGAACAGTATACTTACATAGATGCTGGGTGTAGGAGGGTTGAGTTTCTCTCTGGGTAAATTTTGCTCTGTTCCAATGGGGGGTTTCACAGACATTGATGGCAGGAGGTAGGATTCCTTGTATTTCCCCTTGAGCACCATATTTCTAGTGAAAGACGAGAAAAAGAGACAAGAGTGGAAAAAACAAACAAAAAATTATTGATTTACTTTAATTAGCATCTCTACATTCATTCTTCCAGCCAGCAGATCATGCACACATATAGCCCCTTCTATCAACCATTGCTAGAATGTAAGCTCATTGAGCAGGGCCCTCCAACCCTCTGTTCCTGTACGTCCAGTTGTCTGGTTACAATAACAAGTCTGATAGTCCACCCATTGTACAGCGCTACAGAGTCTGATGGCGCTATATAAATAATAAAATAATAATAACTCTAGCCCATCCGCCTTCCCCTCACAGAGAGCATTATAGCCATTTAACCCCATTATACATTCACCACTCCAACACTCAACTTACTTGCTGGCTCTGACAATTTCTGCAGCCGAGTGGTTAATGGTCAGCTCACTAGCTTGCAACCTCCTCTCTTCCACTTCAGAGGCGATGAAGGTTTCTCTGTCTCCACTTTCTACCTTGATCAGTCGAATTTTCAGCTCCTTTGGTGGACCCTCCATGAATGGTCTCATCTTCAAGAGGTCAGATGTTACACTCCCATTGGAAGGTGGGGGAAGTGTAGTAGCCGGGGCAGCAGGGGGTGTAGGTTGATGATGTCCTTCTTCTGCTCTCCTACCTACCTCTGATTTCCTCCTTTCACCACCTGTCACTTGCTTTGGAGAAGCTTTTGGGGTGTCCCTACACTGACTTTGAAGGTCCAAGTTACCCAAAATCTGCCTCTCTTTGTCCTTCTGAGATCGTCCCTCTTTAGCCCTCCTGCTACGGTCTCTCTTAGACTTCCTGTGCTTCCTATCTTTCTTCCTGCCCTCCTCTTTGATCCGAGGAGGAGCTGGCAGGGAAATGGTCAGCCTCTCATGGGGCCTTTCTGCCTCCACTACTCTAATGCCTTCAGCTTCAGCCTCGGCTTTGGGTACCTCCGCTGGAGACTTCATACTCTCGCTTTCCACTCTTCTCTTTACTAGCTCAGAAGAACAATTCTCGCTTACTCCCACCTGGGATATTTTTAGTTCTGTTGCCTTCTTTGGGGACTGGCTCTCAATTAATTCTTGCAGTCTCCCAAGCACTCCATCTGCCTTAGTAACTTCCGTTACAGGTGTCCCTTGTGGAACTGAATGTTCTTTGTGAATCTTACTAGGGGAAGAACTAACTGGACTGGCAAGGCTCTTTTTCTCAACTACCTTCAATGACATCTTTAAATCCCTCTCAACAGTCCCTTCCACTCGATCCACCACCCAGGGTTTCTCTTGCTTCCTTTCAATAGCTGCATCGGTTTTAGCTGCCACCCTAAGTGCATCGGGTTTCTTTTCAACTGGCCCTTCCTTATGCTCTGCCACTCTGGGTGCTTCCAGCTTCTTCTCAACTACTGCTTCCTGTTTAATAGCTCCCCAAGGTATTTTAGTGTTGGTTTTAGCTACATCTTCTGGTTTATCTGCCACCCTGTGTTTGTCTGACTTTCTTTCGGTAACCACTTCAGGTCTCCTTACACCTTTCTCAACAACTCGCTCTTCCTCCACCCTACTACACCCAGACACTTTTGATCCCTCCACTAGAGTTTCACAAGCTCGTGATATATCTTCCAGAATGTCTGTCTCTGTTCGTACACCTGTCCTCTTGCCCAAGATCCCTTGCCCTGTGACTTCTGATGTAGGAGGTGCTCCAATTACCACTTTTCCCTCCAAGGCCCGACGTGAGGTAGATAGCGCAGTGTATGGGTCATTACGCTTGCCCACCATAGCACCAGTAAAGTAGGCCGAGCCGCCTCCTCCCTTCAGGCTTGCACCACCACGGTAGGAATACTTCTGCCCTTCTAAAACACTTGCAAGTGATTTAAGAACACTATTGCCCCCATGCTGTGCAGGCCTCCCTTCATTGCCACTTTCGTGTCCCAAGATTGCCTTCTTGGGACCATAGTAAGGGAACAACTCGCTAGGCCTCACTTCTGCCATTTTTGCCCCTTGAACAGGAGCATTAAGTACGCTGTTTTGCATGGAACTGGCAGGTTGGGTATCTGAAATGGTTTCTGCTGTGGGGCAAGAAGAGGAGGCAGGAGAGAGATAGTCCTCTCCACTGGAGTTCCCACCAACTTCTTCTTTCTCGATCGACTCATCCAACATTTTCATTATATCATCTAGTCCATCAGGCAAAATCTTTGCAAACTCAGAGGGCTCCTCAAAATGCTCAGATAATTGCCCTCCAGGAAAATCAAAGAGCTGGCTACATCCAGTGGGTGACTTCTCGGGCCTGCAGCCTCCCTTGCTCTCAGACAAGTCTGGATTTGGGCTAAGAGATTTGCTGTTAACATTTAAAACTGGTGGTGTCCCTGGAGAAGCAGAACCCGATACCCGCATGCTCCCTGAGGTATCTTTCTGGAGAGGGGCAGAAGATGGGCCAAACGAGGTGTTGTCCTCTTGCACTGGCGACCCCTTTCTGCCTGAATAGCTGGCCTCATTCCTAGAAAGTCCATGACTTGGTTTGTTCCCACTGATCTCAATTTCTGGGGCTCGGGGATGCTTTCTTACTCCTTCACCAATTTCCTTTTCTTTATTTTCTGGGGCAAATAACACAGGGTCATCAATTTTTTGCAGGGTCTTGAGTACATGATCCAGGCTTGCAGCCTGGAAGGCCTCAGATCCTGGCCTGGCTTTGCTGGTGGTGATGCCCTGAGTTCGTTGCTCGTAGACACTGCCCCCCCCTTGGGTATCGCAAGACGGGAAATATCCTTCCCGTTTGACCCCCCCAGGCTTCTCTCCATACAGTATCTCCTCCAGTGCATCCCCCCTCTTCACCTCCTCCTTGATCGGGGCTGGCAGCCAGCTCTGCTGGAGTGGGGGAGGACAGGAGGCAGGGGATGGCTGGGGCTGGAGAGATGCACAGACTGGTTTTGGGGGGTCTGGCTGCTCCGGAGGAGGGGGGCAGATTCTGGTTGGAGTATTCACGGGGCTCTGGTAGCGATCGGAGGACTGGAACCAAAGAGGTGATATATAAGGGTTGATTTTTATAACAGAGTAAAATAAAGTTTAGCAGTTTAAGCAGAAATTGCTAATCAAACCTACAGATATGAGAAAGTTTGATCAAAACCTGAGAAATATAGAATGGATTTGCATCTACTTACAGGGGGCAGTTCAGGTCTAGAGGTCTTCAGTGGTGGTGGTAGGCGGGGTCTTCGTTGGTCATAAGGCACATGGAGAGGTGGTGGTACTGGAGGGATGACCTCTGCAGGCGACCTCTGACCTCTAGCATCACTAAGGTCACTTGGAGGACGGGGCTGCTGGTGAAGTGGTGGTGGACGAGGAGGACAATATGGTGGATAAGATGAAACATGGGAAGGCAGACGAGGTTCCTGCTGGGAGAATGAGAACATAGGTGTTGGTTACTGCCTTGTATAGTTTATATATGAACCCATATGCCGTTTCATTCTGTATAATGCCTCACCTGCCTATCCCTGCGCTCGTTCCAAGACTCGTGAGTAAGAGGATTCCAGACATTAGGCTTCGTAGGTGCCTGATGGTACAAATTCCCAGAACTCCCAGCGGCAGGAGGGGAGTGCAGGTTGTGTGATCCCCTCCTCTGCTGTAGAGGGATGGGAAAAAAAATGTTAGTGTCATATTAAAAATTCAGCATAAAAATGAACAGAACAATTATTCAAGGAATTTGCCAGGAAAAATTGAAAATCTGGTCACATGATCAGATGAGGCTAACTTGACGGTAGAGGACAGAGAATGGTTAAGTAGCACTTTAGACACCACAACCACTGTGTAGTGAAGAGTGGTCATCTTTGGGGGGCACTGTACCCGTTTAGCCCTGGGCTATGGCGCCGATAATGTGGAACAGAAGTTTAGCTTTAGATGTCCAACTCTGGATAGCAATAATGGCTGGGTGTAGCGATCGTAGAATAAGGAGGTTAACTTGGTGTCTTTAGGCCCGGTCAGAAAATTGATAAACGTAACTAAGAACACGAGCGGTATTTATACATGTGACAGTTCTCAATCGAAAAGTAGGGCCCTGTAACTAATTCGCTATCCAGCACTGAATACCTGCTCAGGGCTCCCACTACGTCTCCTTTTCATGGGCTGCTCTTCTCCTCCATGGGCGTTGTGGGGAGGTGACTGGAGACCTGACGAGTCAGGTGGGGGGACAGCACGCTTCAGCTGTGGGGGGCCCCTCTTCCCCACAAAATGTCTCTTCTGCTGTAAAATAATAGAAGGAAAAATAATTAAATGTATATTTCTACTTATTTATACATGTCTATTTTCCGAGTATCTACACAATGATCTATATACCCCCCCAATAAAAAACACGCAGCTCTTTATAAAAAAAATAAAAAATAAAAATAAATAATAATAATTGCATCGATTTATAAATAAAGAGTTTTCAGTTTACAGAGTTTTGTGTTCATGATCAGTAGATAAAGGCAGAAGGGAGCTGCTCACTTGCCGACCATCACAATTTATCCCATGATGGACAACGTGTGCCATTCAGTGGAGATAGAGATAGATATATATATATATATTCCTATTGTCTCCTTACACACACACTTCTATGTAGATTTATGCCTGGTGCTGTCAAGCCAATGCCATAATATACACAAATATAGGGAACAAGAGGCAGCCGCTTTAAAGATCCTGATGAAAGCCATGTATTGTGGCTGAAACGTCGATCAAGTTTTAAGCAATGAAATAAAAGGAAAATCGTTTTAAAGAAACCAAAAGACCGTGAGTGCTTGCCTCTTGTTCCCATACATATATTATATATATATATATATATATATATACACATATACATATATACATACATATATACATACACACACACACACACATAGTCACTGGAAATGTTTTGGGAAGTACTCTAACCACAAGTATACTCTTCCTATACACTCTGCAGTGCAATGCGCTGATTTTAAGGTCAGTTCTACCTCATGTTGCATGAGATCCCAGACTTGTTGCAATGGTGGCAGAGATTTTGGGCGATGATGGGGCGGGGAGTGCAAGTTCCAAAGGTGAGTCTTGTGGGGGGAAAGGGGGGTTGGGGGAGAAAAAAAAAAAAAGAAAAAAAAAAAAAAAAATGGTTAGGACCATTAAACCATCTCCCCGTGCCACACACCCACACCTCATTTAGATAGGATCTTGCATGTCCTTACCTGTTGAAGCCGGGAGATGTGAGCAGTGAGCTCGTAGCCGCCATGATACCGTGCCGCGGTTTGGTAACAGCGCACAGCATCTTCCCATTCTTGCTCAGACTCATAAATTTGACCAAGCTGCTCCCAAATCTGTGGCTGCTGCTCGTCCCTGAGGAGGGTCTGCACGCAGGAGTGAACGCGCTCCAACTTTCCTAGCCGCGGGCCAGGAGGAGAACTGCACAGAAACAACAGAGTTACTTAAAGGGAGAGAGGGGCGGCCGGAGCAAAGCCAATCGCATCTATCGAGCACAACATTTACCCTAGAGGAAAGTAGGGCTTGCTGGGATGACCTATGCTCGTCACATGATTAGCAGGCAGATGAGGAGGCAGCTGTGACTGGTTGATGTTGGAAGGGCACCTAAAAAAATAAATAAAAAAGTTGAGAATTACACATATAATACATAGTATATTCAGACTCCCTATAACAGCATGACATGTACATAACCATCTAAAACCTTCTAAATCTGTTATACAATGCCTGCTCTTCTCACCTGCCTGCTGGAGCCCAGGCTCTGGGGTGGGGAGGGTTCCATGCTGCGTTGATTCCGTTGTTGAAGGGATCGCGGGGAAATCGGGAGCCAAACTGGTCCTGTGGGCGATACATCCAGACTGCTGACAGGGAGTAATGGAGGGAAATGCAGGAAAGGGGGAATAAAAGAGAAAAAAGCATCCTGTAAGTAAAAGATTCTATACATTTACACAGAATTTGTTCACAAAGACATGTGCAATCAGTGTGTTTGAGGCGCATCAGGTGGACATATTTTAATCTAGGTTTATATAAACCGAGAGCAGGCACAGTTTGGCAGATCCTCTGATCTTATGGGATAAGTGGAACTGCTCCTGGGGGATAACCTATTTATCCTTCTCTATGGCGTCTGCACTGATTGGATGACAGGCTACGGATAGCTGGACTCTTCCTGGTAAGGGAGGGCTCTGCTTGCTGTGCCAAGGAGTGTGAGTGTTTTATGCAGGGGCTGTGTTCTCCTTTCTCAGAGATGCAGGACAAACTAACTCCAGCTTCCCGAGGCTGATCATACCGTTTCAATCAGTGCCAGCATTCACAAGTTGAAAAGAAGGAGCGGAAAAAGCATGATGTTCTGGACCACAGAGAGAGCCTGCAAAGACAAGGGAACTTATTAAAAATAATCCCAATCAAAAGCACGGTCACGCTGTCTGTCCGAATACAATGTTTTGCCATAACAAGAACAGGGCTGTTTAGGACAATCAACAATAACCTCGGTATCAGTTCTCTCTGAATTACTTTTACCAAGATGTGTAGAAAGTCCTGGCACATTGGAAACTTATTTTAGAATATTTTTCAGGAACAAGGGTGGCCCTTCGGTAAGCATTTGCTAGTTTAGGGGATTAGACCTCAGTACTCAGACATTTTTGGGGGATCATGGGCTTAATCCACTTTACCAAAATATATGGGGTGAGGTCAGCCGTCAGATGCAAACTTTTCCTAAAAAGACAACCCAGGTAAGGAAAAAAAAATAAATAAAATAATAATAATAATAATAATAATAATAATAATAATTATATATATATATATATATATATATATATATATATATATATATATATATATATATATATATATATATATATATATATATAGATATATATATATATATAGAACAATTTACATCAGGAAGATCTAATATTTAATGAAATCAAGCAAACACAATGCATTTTTATTTTAAAAAAATAAATAAAAAAATAAACATGTCACCGTAGAGTTAAAAACAAAGATCTGTACTTTTTCCTTTAACAGAACAAAAACTAAATTCACGATGATCACATTAAGACGACACTATTAGGAGTCTGTCCCTCCCCCTGCAGGGTGACACAGACAGACGGAGCTATGAGTCTGTCCCTCCCCCTGCAGGGTGACACTGTGACACAGACAGAAGGAGCTATGAGTCTGTCCCTCCCCCTGCAGGGTGACACAGACAGAAGGAGCTATGAGTCTGTCCCTCCCCCTGCAGGGTGACACAGTGACACAGACAGAAGGAGCTATGAGTCTGTCCCTCCCCCTGCAGGGTGACACGGTGACACAGACAGAAGGAGCTATGAGTCTGTCCCTCCCCCTGCAGGGTGACACAGTGACACAGACAGAAGGAGCTATGAGTCTGTCCCTCCCCCTGCAGGGTGACACAGTGACACAGACAGAAGGAGCTAGGAGTCTGTCCCTCCCCCTGCAGGGTGACACTGTGACACAGACAGAAGGAGCTATGAGTCTGTCCCTCCCCCTGCAGGGTGATAGTGACACAGACAGAAGGAGCTATGAGTCTGTCCCTCTCCCTGCAGGGTGACACTGTGACACAGACAGAAGGAGCTATGAGTCTGTCCCTCCCCCTGACAGGGTGACAGTCAGGAGTGCCTTGTTGAATCTATTTTACTGTGACACACATACAGTTCTCAATCCCATGACGATAATTCCCACATCCCACACAGAAGCTGAGTCAGACCCCCCAACTCACAGCGATATGTTACTCAGCAAACCACGTACAGACACACCCCCAATGTGTCACCTCGCTACACACTACAAAGAACAACACGTGGGACAGAGTTAACCCTATGATGCCTGGAGCAGAACAGATTTCTCATATTCTGATAGATTTTAAAGTTTACTTCCTAATCATCTGTAGGTTCAAAGAACAAATCATTTTCTTCTTAAAATGTACTGGTCACAAAGTAAACCTGAATATGCTCGTGTTCTGCAAAGAATTGAATTGGGCACAGTGCAGGCAGTAAGGGGTTAAGATTTGTATCCATTATCCTGCCCTATTTAACAGTCACACTGTGTTGCTCTGTGTTACATTGTTTTCCTGCTGGGAACAGTCTATTCACACACTCCCAGCATTGTGAGCAAGACACTGACACACACACTGTCTGATACACTCACCCCACTGTCTACTCTCAAAACACTGAACACACCCACAAGAGACTGGAGGCGGACACAGGAGGCACTCTAATGACACATCAAAGCAAAATCTAAACACACTACTACAGCAAAAACATTATCAATGTCAGCCTCCAGGTCACACCCCCCCACTACATCCCCTGGTGTGTACACAGCACAGACAGTGGCAGTGCCGGTTTAGTCCTTACACTACTACACAATGCCATGTATACATAGCACAGTTTCAGTATACAGACAGAGGCCCTCACACACTGCTACACCGTGCCATGTATACACAGCAGCAGTGCCAGCCTAGCCCTTACACACTGCTACACCATGCCATGTATACACAGCGACAGTGCCAGCCTAGCCCTACACACTGCTACACCATGCCATGTATACACAGCGGCAGTGCCAGCCTAGCCCTCACACACTGCTACACCATGCCATGTATACACAGCGACAGTGCCAGCCTAGCCCTCACACACTGCTACACCATGCCATGTATACACAGCGACAGTGCCAGCCTAGCCCTTACACACTGCTACACCATGCCATGTATACACAGCGGCAGTGCCAGCCTAGCCCTTACACACTGCTACACCATGCCATGTATACACAGCGACAGCCTAGCCCTCACACACTACTACACAATGCCATGTATACATAGCACAGTTTCAGTATACAGACAGAGGCAGTGCCAGCCTAGCCCTCACACACTGCTACACCGTGCCATGTATACACAGCGGAGGTGCCAGCCTAGCCCTCACACACTGCTACACCATGCCATGTATACACAGCGACAGTGCCAGCCTAGCCCTCACACACTGCTACACCGTGCCATGTATACACAGCGGCAGTGCCAGCCTAGCCCTCACACACTGCTACACCATGCCATGTATACACAGCGACAGTGCCAGCCTAGCCCTTACACACTGCCATGTATACACAGCGGCAGTGCCATCCTAGCCCTTACACACTGGATACACAGCAGCAGTGCCAGCCTAGCCCTCACACACTGCTACACCCTGCCATGTATACACAGCAGCAGTGCCATCCTAGCCCTCACACACTGCTACACCCTGCCATGTATACACAGCGGCAGTGCCAGCCTAGCCCTCACACACTGCTACACCGTGCCATGTATACACAGCGGCAGTGCCAGCCTAGCCCTCACACACTGCTACACCATGCCATGTATACACAGCGACAGTGCCAGCCTAGCCCTTACACACTGCCATGTATACACAGCGGCAGTGCCATCCTAGCCCTTACACACTGGATACACAGCAGCAGTGCCAGCCTAGCCCTCACACACTGCTACACCTGCCATGTATACACAGCAGCAGTGCCAGCCTACCCTCACACACTGCTACACCCTGCCATGTATACAGTGCCAGCCTAGCCTTACACACTGCCATGTATACACAGCAGTGCCATCCTAGCCACACACTGGATACACAGCAGTGCCAGCCTCACACACTGCTACACCCTGCCATGTATACACAGCAGCAGTGCCATCCTAGCCCTCACACACTGCTACACCCTGCCATGTATACACAGCGGCAGTGCCAGCCTAGCCCTCACACACTGCTACACCGTGCCATGTATACACAGCGGCAGTGCCAGCCTAGCCCTCACACACTGCTACACCATGCCATGTATACACAGCGACAGTGCCAGCCTAGCCCTTACACACTGCCATGTATACACAGCGGCAGTGCCATCCTAGCCCTTACACACTGGATACACAGCAGCAGTGCCAGCCTAGCCCTCACACACTGCTACACCCTGCCATGTATACACAGCAGCAGTGCCATCCTAGCCCTCACACACTGCTACACCCTGCCATGTATACACAGCGGCAGTGCCAGCCTAGCCCTCACACACTGCTACACCATGCCATGTATACACAGCGGCAGTGCCAGCCTAGCCCTCACACCATGCCATGTATACACAGCACAGGTACAGCAGCACCACCTCCCCTCTAACGTTCTGATAACATGATTTCCCTTAATTTTCCCCAATCTCCCCTCCGCCCACAGAACCAACTAAGAGCTGCGACAAGGTGCTTCCCCAGTACGTCAGTGCTGGGTAATACCCGCTCGCAGTACACAGCACAGTTACGGGGAAAGGAACAGTTCGTGGAAGAGTGATTGCCAGAAATGCTGGGCTGCGTACCGGCAGGAGGCTGTGTTAGGAAATGCTCTGGAAGTCATGTGACAAACAGATGCCGCAAAGCGCATGTGTCTAAATAATTAGCAAAGAGAAGGAGAGAGAAAAAGCGACCAGGGCAGTCTGACAAAAAGGGAGCACAGACGGAACAGGAAAATCAAAACAATGGGCTGGCGAGAGAGAGAGAACAGACACAGAGCAGACAGCGCAGGACGAGGAGACAGACACACAATGAACGATCAGACAGGGAATTATTCTGACAGACCTTGACAGACGACGATGAAAAGGTTCAAAAAGCATTGAATCCTTACGAAACAATAATTATCCTAAAGTCCTAGTATCCGAGTTAAAAATCACCTGCCACTCACCTTCAGAAGAAAAAGACAGCTGGCGAGGGAGTCTAGTACAGTCTGCTCCCAAAATCTCCCACCGGCTGGGCGCTCGCCGGGACAGATCCCAAGTTACAGAGCGAGCTGTAGTTTGGGCTGGAAGCCGGTCTGATCAGTCAGCCAGTTCTGTCTGAG